CTTATTACTTTTTAAATGCTTTAAAATGATCACATATACTCATCCTAAAAAGTAGAAAGTTACAAAAAAAGCAAAATGAAGACAAAATAACCATAATTCCATAATCCAAAGAAATTACTATTGATATTTTCGTGTATTTTTTTCTACAGTTTTTTTTATTTGGTGTATATAGTCAAGCTTTATCTAGTGGAGTCATCTAAATATTTTTCTTAAGTGACTTAAAAGGAGCTTTTAAGATTATGCACACCCTTGCATATTTTAATTGACATATAAAATATTAAACATAAGTCAAATAAGTTTATTGAACATATTATAAGATGAAATAAATGAAAGAACTAGGCTGTAAGAGGAACAGATATGCCTTTAACTATCTTATTGACTAAAGTATAGGAAATCTGTAAGAAATCAAGTAAAATTTTCACATGAATTTTATCCAATGTGTCTAGAAAAAATGTGATAGTCTATCAAAAAGTCTCATTTACATTTAAGAGAGTAACCATAAGTCCCTCATATTGCTTCTGATCCCAAGCTTCAAACTATCCCAAAGTTGTCCCAAATATCCCCAAATTAGCTAAAATTCATACTATCTCAAAATGGACTGAAACACAAGTATTTTAGTAAGTTTCACTTTTCTATAAAATGTATATGTTGGGGAAAGAAAAGATTTATGATTCTAAAGCACCTTGATTAATTATCCAAGGAGGCCTCCTTAAAATTAATTCCATTAATCTGTTTGTTTGGCACCCTGGAACTACTTATAGCCAAGGTAATGCGCAATACTGAGATTAGGGATGAAGGATACCACTATGTATGAGGTGAGAGAAAGATGACTGGGAACCCAGGCTTATTCTCACAGAAACTGAATTTAGGAAAAAGCATGTGTGAAAGTTGAGAATCTGGAAACTGACCTCCTTGGAATTATACATGCAGTCTTCAAGAGCTAGAGTTGTACCTTGAAGGTTTTGATTTCAGCCCTACATCTTAGAGTTCTTAATCTCTAACAAACTCATAGGAAAGAAAAGTTGACCTTTAATGCATACCTCACAGGAAATGGTGATGAGTCATCCTGTAGCACCTGTTCTTCCAGTAGAGCTGAATGAGCCACAAGGTGTTTGTTGCTGAGAAGGATCAAGCAGCTGCTGTAGGTACCATCCTTTGGATGAGCCAAAAAATTTATGGTTATTTATTTCTCTTCATAGACTCTACATAAGTCTTTATGAATAAAGGGGTTATTAATTCAGTGGTTGAGAAAATTAATAAAATAAAGCGTCACCTCATTTATCTGGCTTATTTGAAGAATGTGTTCTTCCAAGTAACATTATCCTCAAGATAATTAAAGCTTATAACTTCAAGAGTAAGCCATGAAGTTAGAAAAATAAGTTCAATGTTTTTAGTAAGTTTTCTTAAATGAATAATATTTTCTGTTACCTTCTTAAATAAACACTATGGGACTGATATTGTACTTTTTTAATCAGAGTTGTGAGTGTTGAAAAGTAGGGCAGGACCAGACAATGAGCTAGGCAGTACCGGTGAAATAAAGTGGATGTGGTGTGGAGGATGCTGAGGTAGCAGGAGAGGCTGTTGAAAGAGGGTGCTGGTACCATAAAATCTAGTGTAGAGTGACAAGTGTGAGATCAAAGTAGAGGGAGCAGGCAAGAAACAAAGTCTGAGTCACTGACCCAGGTCAGGTAAGCTTTCCTCTACAGGAGTTGGCACTCAGGGCTAACGCTTGCAAAAGTGTGGACCTGAGGCTGCTGTATATTCCTCTCTGCATATAACTGTTCTTGTATCTTTTTTTTAGTATTTTATTCTTTCTCATTGTACTTTTTAAATAGTATCTTCTTTGCTACTTCAGGATCCTCAAAAGCCATTAACATCCTCCTCTGCATTTACAGTCACTGCACAGGGTATGTTGACATAGAAAAGGCACAAAAAGAACGTGCAGCCCTCTATTGGGCCATATGACAACAGAGTGGCAGGATGGCACCATGAATCATCAAAGCAACTCTTCACTTCAATTGCACCTACAATCTATGGGTATGTTGGAGAGTGTGAAAGAGTTGTTTCAGCTATCATACTATAAATTTTCAGGCAATTTAGTGCCACGTTTTTTATATTTTATGTTTTTTGTTGGTGTTAGCTGTTTAAAATGGCCCCCAAATGTAGTCCTGAAGTCCTGTGTGCAAGAAGGCTGCAATGTACATTACCAAGAAAATATGTGTTAGATAAGCTTCATTCGGGCATGAATGACGGTACTGTGGGCTCTAAGTCTAATGTCAATTAGTCAACAATACAGATTGAATAAGGTGTCTTTAAACAGAAACACACATAAAACAAGATTATGTATTGGTATGTTGATGAAAATGTGAGCATAAGCTTGCAGTACAAAAAATATTAATCACTAAAACAGTTAATGAGTTGAGCTTAAATTAAAAACTCCTAGCCCTGGCTGGCATAGCTCAGTGGATTGAGCGCGGGCTGTGAACCAGGCATCTCAGGTTGAATTCCCAGTCAGGGCACATGCCTAGGTTGCAGGCCACGGCCCCCAGCAACTGCACATTGATGTCTCTCTTTCTCTCTCTCTCTCTCTCCCCTTCCCTCTCTAAAAATAAATAAATAAATAAAAAGATTCTTTAAAACAAACAAACAAACAAAAAACTCCTGCTCTCAAAAGACATCATTAAGAAAATGAAAAAATAAGCCACAGACTAGGATAAAATAGTTGCAGAACACATACCTGATAAAGGATTGGTTTTTCAAAATACATAAATAACTTTCCAACTGCAATAATAGGAAAAATAACAAGCCAACAAAATGGGTAAAAGATTTGAACAGACTGTTTACTAAAAAAATACATACAGCAAATAAACACATGAAAAGGTGGTTAAGAACCACCAGCAGCTCCCATTAAAATAAGTACAAAAATCCTGATTTGCATTGAACTCTCCATCAATCTCCTCTCTGCTGTCCAAATTCCTGAAAGATTACCCAATGTCCTCTCATTTATTTTCTATTCTGATTTACTGCTATGTCATTTCTACCTCCCTTTCTTTCCTGAAACTTCTCAGGGAAGACTGACAGTTGTCAAATCCAACACTCCCTTTTAGTTCTTATATTTAATTTCTGACTATTCAACACTGACCACACATTACTTACATCTCTTTTCATCTTTTGGGTCAACATTTTCTGGTTCTGGCCACCCATTCCCTTCCCTTATTGCTCTGAGTGTTCTTTCTGAGTCCTCACATTCTAAACTTAGTTCAATATTATTGACATGCTGAAATCATCTGGATTTAGATCTGTAGCTCAAACTTTTCTTCCAAGGTCACCAATGCCTACAACAGCATATCAGATAGTTCTTTCTAAGTATGTGATAAGCACCTCCCAATCAACATGCCCAGACCCCAAATTCATCACTTCCTCATCATCACACCTCCTTTTGTGTGTTCAATTAATGCCACTGTCTACTGGGTCAGCAAAACTAGTCACTAGAGTCATTCTTCCTGTCCTGAATTTTTAACTTTCCACACATGTTGTTGATTGTGCACTTCAGGAGTCACCATTTCCTTATTGGTCACAACTGCCTGTCCAACCTGCCTCCACAGAGCTCTCAGTTCTATTTTTTCCTTCCAGTTCTTGCTGCCTTTGCTTTCCTTTAGGTCCTCCTAACTGTGTTCTTTATCTCCAGTCAATTTTCTACGCTATAATTAAAATTATATTTCTATAATCCAATCTGATTATGCTATTTCTATTTAACAATCTATGTTGTCTCTTGACCGACATCAAGATAAAGGTTAAACTACTTAGCAGGAATACAAAGCCCATTGCATTCTGCCATTGACCTAATTTTCCAGCTCAAATCTTATTCTTCTCAACCTGGAGAAACACTTGCCAGTCACAAAATATCAACATTGCTTGCACATTTTGTTCTTGGTATGTGAAGTGTTTTCCCACACCCTCTCCTTCACAGGTTAGAAAATTGTTACAAATCATTAAAACCCAGTTGATAGTCATTTCTTCTGTGTGGTCTTCAAAAACAATCTTATTTGTATATTTAGTGGCTCTCAACTCTGGCTGCTCATTATATCACCTGGGGGGTAGGTGGTACTTTTAAAAAATATCAGTGTCCAGGCTCCACCCACAGCAATTCTGACTTCATTGTCTAGAATGAATCTAAGTATAGGAATATTTCAAGTATTCTTCCAGAGTATTCTAATGTGTGAAGTAATAAAGATAAAAAATTAAAAAGAGTGTGGATTTTATGACTTCGAGAAGTTTGCTGTAGAGAAAACAAGTAAATTAATTGACATTTACAATAGGAAGGAGTATAAATAGTGAAAAGATATCCATGTAGAACAAAGAGAGGAAGCAGGAAGGAAAGACATGTGAGTAGGCATCCCCCTGGAGATGCCTACTATAAATCAACCAAATATTTGGTAATTTTTTTTATTTGCTTGTAGAATCCTGCTAAACTGTGCATGATAGGTCAAAGCAACTAATCCACAGTTTAATCACTGTACACAATACAACAAAGAGCTGATCTGTAATCAAACACCATTATACCCTTAGTGCCCAAAACAATACCTGGTTCATTGTATTAAAAAATACATGTTAAATAAATTAATGGTCGACAGTAGCATTTAAACTTTCTTTTCTTAAGAAACACATTTATGATTAACACCAATATTGGCTACAAATTTAAACTAAGCATCATATTCTTGGTGTCAAAGATTTTGACCAAGCATGTATATGTGTTCTACTTCTTGAACAAGACAGGTAATTTTAAATGAAGCTGAGAAAAAAAAAAGTATTGGCAAAGCAGTTCACTTTCAGTAATCTGGGTTTTCCCAAATAGTGACAGAAGAACCAGTCATTTTGAATTGGACAGTTTGAGTTCCTCTTCAAGAATCTGAAATGTAGGTCAGGGCTTTGCTGACATTTCCATTTGCCTCAGAGCTGAAAATCTGAAGCAATCACTGACAGGCAGGCAGTGGGGAAAGAAGACATAGACATGATGGGCCAGGTTCTGAAGTGGAATTTTGTGCTTCAAACAGACTGAAAGGTAAAGAGAACGCAATCATCCAAATATTTAAAAGCAGCTGTATTTCTTTTTGAAAATATATGGGCAAGGTTATTTTCTCTTATAAGTTCTTGTGATATTTTATACGGTGGTTACTGATGAAAGTTGAATCTATAATATTATCTGACACCACATCACCTTAAATAATAATTATTGTGTATATTCTATTAGGTGAGTAGTTACCTTTTGACTAGAAACATTTTAGGGTTTGGGTTTTTTTTTTTGCCTATTATTTATAAAGAGGAAACCTACTATTGTTAACAACTTAAGAAAGGGATCCCTACATTCACGAGTCATGAGAACACCAGTTTTTAAAAATGTTATCAGATACTTTATGCTATTTGATGAGACATGAATTTTGTTTTGTTGTTTTATATAGAAGGTCCAAATTTTATTAAACAGGCAAAGTAAATGAATAATGTTGGTTATTGAATAACTGAATTATTAATAATGTAAGAAACTGATTAACTGAGTAATGTAACTCCAGTTGTAAACTCATGGCAATTTCTTTAATGTATTTGTTTTATATTCTGTATGGATGAAAGAGCTTTTTGTAAGTTTAACTGGTGATAACACAATTAAGTGAGACTACACAATTGTCTCACTTCATCTTTCTTCATTTTAAATGTCTTTTCTTTGGAGACCCTGAAATTTCTGATTTTTCCAAAATTTTACTCATTAAATTCTGATATTTCTGGAGCTTGACAGGTGCATGATCTGGTCAGGAGGAAAATTCATCATTAGGAATGAGAGCAGAAAGGTATTTCTGATGAGACAGATTAGGTAGGAGGAATTATATTATGTCAAGGGTCAAAAGGTCGTACTGAGGTAATTCATAGTGATTTTTGAAAGGTATAAAATGCCATTCTTCTGCTTTACTTCTCAACCTATACTATACCTCCTCACACACCAGTGACTTTTTGCTGTTTTCCTTCTTCTTTCCTTTCTTCCTTCCTCCCCTCCTCCCTTCCTTCCTAATTAAAGTTCCTCATCAAAGATGATAACTGCTAAAAATTGTAATGCCTTTTATTATTTTATTAAAATATTACAATTTAAACATTTTTCATATTTTTCCTTGAGGGGAACAAGGAGTTTTGTGCTGCTTTCAGTCATGAATCAGATCGCAATTCAATGGGATGCAGTAATAGCTCTTTACATATTCTTCAGTTGGTGTCATGGAGGTACAGTATTTGAATACCTATTGTTATAATTCAAATGAAATAGAGTGTCTAATGTTCTCAAGGTATTATGCTAGGATCTCTGAAGAATCAACAGTTGTTATATTGGGAAAAATTATATGCACATAAAAATTATGTAGAATCAAATAAAGAAGTCCAATCTCTCTCTTAATACAGGGTTCCTTTCTCAAGTATCCCTAATGGACAGAATGTGAACTCATATATATAAATTTCCATGAGGAAGTACATATTACTTTGAGTTGGCATGGTCTATCTCTGAACTATTATAACTGTTTTATGATAACCCATCAAACATTTCCAATTTTATTCAATTCCACAAACCATTTGTTAATGGTTATTCTGTGTCATGTACTGTGCTAAGCCTTTTATTCCTCACAACTTTGTGCAGTAATATTATGTATTATTATTATTCCCATCTTATAATTTATACAAATGTACAAACGTCTGTCACTATGACAGACATGAGCAGTTTTGAGAACTCCAGGAAAAGGATCTTTAGACAGGACAGCCATTTGCATTTAGGAGTTTTTTCTTTCTTTTAAAAATATTTTATTTATTTACTTTTAGAGAGAGGGGAAGGGAGGGAGAAAGAGAGGGAGAGAAACATCAGTGTGTGGTTGCCTTTCATGCACCCCCTACTGGATACTGGCCTGCAATTCAGGCATGTGCACTGACTGGGAATCAAACCAGCAACCCTTTGGTGTGCAGGATGGCGCTCAATGCACTGACCCACACCAGCCAGGGCATATTTAGAAGTTTCTATTGCAGGCAATGGTATCCTGGGTCGATGGCAAGGACTCATTTATTGGGTGACATGTGACATCAAGGCAGGGTTCCTGCCTCAAGAAAACTTTGCAGATGATGCAAGTTACTCAGAGTAGTGACAAGTGCAAAACTCTGTTCCACAGGTTGGGACACAATTATATTAGAGATACAGAGGTAGCCTCATCATCAGAACTAGAATCCTTCTAGCAAGATATTGGATACTTCCAGAGTCAGACCAACACTATCCAAGATTTAGGGGAAATAAGTCACCAGTTGCTTTTGCTGGTTTCTTGAAAATTGTAAATGGTATGGCATTAGAGATCTTTCAGCTGTCCATCAGAAATTATTTTATATATTTTTGTTCAATCTCTTATGAAAAAGTTAATATCATCCAGACTACCTTTTCCAAGTTTTCTACTAGAATATTGTTACCCCCTTTCAATAGCTTCCTTGAAATAACACACACACACACACACACACACACACACACAATTACCATGTTTAACATTCCTCTGATCAATCCAAGAACTCTATTAAAAAGAGAAGTTAATATATAGAAATATGACTTATTCTTATGTAATCCATGTGGATTCCTTCTGATTAATGATCTTTTCTATGTACTGAAAAATTATTGACTTACTAAATCAATTGTAAGATAAGTGTATTTCTCTTTAATTAATCCATCTATTTATTTCCAACATATTAAATATGTTGCTTTGCAAATTTTTAACTTAAAAAGTCCTGAACATACCCCATATTATTAAATTAAGGATGAATTTTAAGTTGTTACCAAATAGTAGATTTTTGCCATAAGTAAAAGTATAGTTTTTTTCATTAAGCTCAGAATTTTCTGGTAAAATTAGCTTTTATCTACAAAATAATGAAAGATTGACTGATAGCTAAAGAATGGGGTTTGGATTGTATAGTGTCACGTGTTATATCTAATCTTACCTTTCAAAAAGGTGTAGCCTCATAATGCCTCAGTTCTCTGCTATAAAATAAGACAGCTAATTATATTTGCTCTTTAGACAGAGAGGCTTAAAGGCTGACACCAGTCTTATATCATGCTGCTGAACCTTAACAGAAGCATAGTACAAATACATGATAATAAACTAATCAATTTAAAGATATACTTAGTCCTAACATTTTTTTCCCAATGGAAATCATTTAATAATAAAAAAGAATAAATTTTAAATCTAATAACTTGTTCTTTTAAATCTACTGTTTTAATATTTTACATGGAATTTATTACTTTAATCTATTTATTTCTAGGAATTACAAATATAAAATGCTCTGGCCACATCTGGGTAGAACCAGCCACAATTTTAAAGATGGGTATGAATATCTCTATATACTGCCAAGCAGCAATTAAGAACTGTCAACCAAGCAAACTTTATTTTTATAAAAATGGCATCAAAGAAAGATTTAAAATCACAAGGATTAATAAAACAACAGCTTGGCTTCGGTATGACAACTTTCTGGAACCACACGCGTCTTTGCACTGCAGTGCTGAATGTCCTGGACATTTTCAAGAGACACTGATATGTGGAAAAGACATTTCTTCGGGATGTAAGTGTTGGGGGTGCATTCAAGGTCCAAATGAAAGCTGGTCTAACAATTAACTGGTAATTACCAAGTTGTCTAAAAATAGAGGCAATTTGATATAGTTTACTTCTTATACTAGTTTAATATGGGAGTTGCAAGCTTAAATGTCTCCAGGGGCCAGACGGGTGAAAAAATGAGTTACAAAGGCTGGTGGGGTCCCCGCAGAGAGAAAGGCACATACCCAGTCCACTGCACACAGCCATGGCCTAGCTCCCGTACTTGTGAGGGCTCAGTATTCCTAGATTTTTGACTCTTCAATAGAAGACAGAAATACGAATTTTTAATGTAAGCTCTACAAATTTTACAATATTACCAATGCATTCAAACAATTTTTCAACACTTGATTGGCCGGACAAAGCATACCTGAGAGACAGCAACCTCAGGTTTTAAATGTTCTTTTCATCTGTTTTTTGCTTTTTTTGTTGTTGTTTTTATTTTTCCAAACGAATATCATCAACCTTGAAGCAGACACCACTGTGAAATTTTGAGGTTAAGATTTAGGGAGAAAAAAACAGTTGCAAAACTAGCTGTGTGTTCCTGCTATACTCCTTACCAGCTGTGTGACCTGGGGCAAATTGCCTACCTAATCTGAGCCTCAATTCCATATCAGCAAAATGAGGCAAATTATATTGACTGTGGTAAGCACTCAATTTTAATAATTTATTTTAAAGCATATTTTACACTGTAAAGTACAATGCCAATGTACCTAAACCCTTAAAAATACATCCTTTGGCTTCTGATGTAGTTCCCTGCTTCTAATCCTACTGCCCCAATTGAGATTCATTGTGTTTATTACTTTAATTATTAAGAAATAAAATGATCAAGTTAATCTTAAAAATATTTGCTTAATTCAATTTGTGTTCACAGCATTATGAAGATGTTTAAATTATTAGAGTAACATGGGCTGATTTACCTAATGATAACCTTAATTCTTGGTTCTACTATTATGAAGGATAGATCAATAAGCACAGCACTGTTTTAACAGATATTCACTCCCTAAGGCATCTGGGCCCATTAAAGGGCTCAGTAAAGACAGAGGCTTCGGGCCTTTGCCACATTCTTTCCTCCATACTTATAAAGCCACATCTGAGTTCTTATTTCCTCACCTCCAGACCTTACCTAGTAAGGGCCAAACCACTCAGACCCTAGAGTGAATAACTGAAAAGCAGGAAGCTTCCTTGTTTTAAAATAAAACCATAGTCCCACTTAACTCTGGTTACCTGATCTTGCAAGATTTTCAAAAGCGAGAAGAAATACGGGAGGTGGTGGAGGTAAACTGAGGAAGACATGTAAGTAGTAGAAAAGGAAGTAGAAGTTTTGGAGTCAAAGAATAAGGCTAGCAAATGTATGACTTAGACTGAGAATAACATGAAACTTTGCCCTAAATTGTGGGAATTGAAACCACAGGCAGAAGTCTTATCTGATATATGAGGACTCCTTACCTTGTCCACATCCTCAGGAAATATAAATAAGCCCTTGATGCTTACTTCACTATATTTATACTTTGGAGTGAGGGTGGGGGTGTTGAAATACTATACAAATTTTTCAGAGTTGCAAATAAGCAACTTCCACATTTATGAGAAAAGGTTAGTTTTTTTAATTTAAGACAGAGAAAGAAAAGAGGCAAAAGAAGCATGGTCTCCTTCCCTGTGTTGCAGTTTGGATGACAGATTACTACCAGTAGTTCTCCCCGTGTTGGCGAGGGCCCCTCCCTCCCTGCCACCCCCCCACCCCCCCAAAAAAAATTGGGTGGCATTTAAGGCCAGGGTATAGTCTCTGCTCTCCTTCTAGGACAACACAATAGAAGCACTTATTTTCTGCAAATGGCTGCTTAGAAAGAGCATCACTTTTTCCATTTATTTACTTTGTGAGTTCTCACATAAACCTGTGGTTATGAGTGTGAGATTGTAACTTCAGGTAAAAACTTACTCAAACCCCTGGATTCAAGAACCTCTGCGTTCCTGGGTTCTGCATTCTTAGTAAACAAAGCTTCCTACTTAAGTAGGCCAAAAAAAGATTTTTGAGGGTTTTTGTGGTACTCTAGAAATTACATTGCTTTCATTGGATTACTTTGATCACAGGATATTCGTCCTGTGAGCTTCACTATGTCAATTTATTGTTACCATTTTAAGCAAAATGATTATATGTATATTTTTAAACTGGAGACAAGTCTTAAAAGAGAGAAGATAAATGAGTCATTGCTTTCCCTGAAAAGTTATCCATATATATTTAAAACGGCCTTTCCTTTAATGTGTAATTTGTGAAACACAAACTATTATTATCACAATTTTCATTTTTAGTCATAATTTTAAGTACTTCTTAGATTTTTATCAGTGATTAAATGCATGCTTATTATGGGAAGTTTTTTCTACTAGAATAACACCAATTATGAAATCAAGCAGTATTAGATGTCTTTATGCATTTAAAAACAGCAAATTAAAATAAACCATACACAGAATAATCACATTGTCACTTAATCATTTATTTAAACATTTAAACATCTTTGACTTAATTTTAATCATCTTTGATCTCTACTTATCTTGATGAAAGCAGACTTGTTATCCAATAAAGGCCTGGAATATTCATCTTTAACATACATGCTTAAGTATCATTACTGACACAATTAGGCTGATCTGTGCTTTCCTTGGAAGAGTGATCTTTGCCAGGAGCATAGCATCTCTCTTCATTTTAAGTCTTCTTATTACTATCACTTTGTGAATCAAGCCAATCAATTCATGAAACACACATTACTGAGAGTTTGCTATGCCCCCAAAATGTGTTAAATGCTAGGAATTCAAAGAAGAGAGAATCACAGACTGCTTTCAAGAAGCTCTCAGTAAAAAATGATCCTTGGCTGGACTCTAAATTAATAAGAAACCTGGCCTTTGATTAATGAGTGCCCCAATAATAGGGGAGAGATGGCATTGACAGGAAAGAGCAAAAACTTAAGCCTCCTTTGTATATATTTCAAGGTATTCTCTAGTATCTGGCTGTAGAGCAGGTTTTTATTTCTGAACATTGAATAACCTGGCAATGAGATCTAACAATGATTTGGTCTTACCCTCATTACCATACTCACATTCTTATCTTTGTATAGCTTCACATTAATGTTATAAATATTGTGTTTATTTGTATGTATGTATATAATCTATTTGATCTTCTGCAAAAGTAATTAACCACCAGACATTTACAACCCTGAGCATTCACTTCATAGTGAATGCTATGGAATAAATAAGATATCCCCAAAGATTGACAGCTGTCTTTCATGATTACTAAATCAATGATACCCTGTATCTGAAACCAGAGAATAAAAATAACTTCAGTACAAATCATTGTAATCATCAAGGGACTGTAACTCAATCAATATTCAGAATGACTTAATATCTGTTTCCACAACTACTTCCTTTAAGGTACCAATAAAATTTAAAGATTTCTTTATCCTACTTAATGTCCTATATCTCCCCATTGTACTCAATGCTACAACTCACCAAAATGTTATAAAGTATATTAGTGCATTCCTATTGTTTGAAAATAATTTTTAACTACAAGATCAAATTACAGTCAATGCATAAAGTTTTAAAAAATTTAGACCAGCAAAAAGAAACACCCACCATTTTTATAATCCCACAATATCACCACTAATAAAATCCTTTTTCAATAAATTAGAATGTCTTTCAAATTTATCTCCCCCTGCTTTCTCTGTCTCTCAAATGAGACCACTATACTATACTATTTTATAATCTGCTTTTTCACTTTATCATATGGCCATTACTTACTTATTAAACTAATTAAATGCATACTTAACTTGTACTCTACATTATTTTATGATGTATTTTAGCAGTATATTATAGTTTATTTAATCTTATTTTGGGGTATTAAGGTTGCTTCTAGTGTTTTCATTATTACAAACGATAATTTAAGGGCACATTTTTAGCCAAATATTTTGTATATCTATAAGCATCTCATTAAGGATGCAATCTTAGATGTAAAATTGCTGGGTTGCAAGATATTGTTCCAGCTTTTAAAGATTATGTAATGTAAAGTGTTCTCCATAAAGGCTGTAGCAATTTGCACAAGTGTGTTAGAGGATTTCCTGAATCTGTTCCAATACTGGGGATTACCATTTTTTAAAATCATTGCTGTCTTGATAGGTGTAAATGATATCTATTATCGTTTCAATTTACAATGAAGATACATTTTTCATATATTTAGTTCTTATTTTACAAGTAATTCTTGGTATGTGATTTGCAGGTGAAGCACAGGAGTATATTTAGATTTAACATAAATCTTTGGGTATGACTTCAGATGCATCAATGTCTGTAGTTTTTTTCTTTACAAGCGCCTACTCTGCTAATTTGGTTGTTCTCTGGGTAGTATAGTTTCCCAGGCAGGATTGCACAGGTAGGCACAAGCTCAAAGAGCCACACCTGAAAAGTGAGTACATAATTAGCACTCAATATCTCTACACTTCTTTTTTTAAATCTTTTTCTTGGTAATTTATTATTAGGTGACATAACTGAAAATTTCAAGTGCTGTTCCATAGCTGTTGGGGTTTCATCAGCTCCAGAGGCCCTAAGGACTCAAACAATGTCATCTGAATTCTCTGATCTTTTCCCATCTCTTGGGTTTTGTTTTCCCCTGTATTGGCTTCATTCTTAAACAGTTTCACTATGACAGCAAGATGGTCACCAGCAACTCATAGTTACTCAGAGATAGCAATTTCAGGGGGAAAGAAAGTCCCTCTTTTACGATGGCTCCTGAAAAAGTCCTTTGGAGAAATCTGATTGGTTCATCTTGAGTCATGCGTTCATTCCCAACGGAAATTCATATTTGATTAATCTGCCTAAGTGAAGGGTATCCTTTCCTGTGGAACCTAGTGACTGACAACCCTTGGAATAGAGAAGATATGAGGTTAGGAGTGAGGGAGATGTCAGTTCTGAAAAGGGACAAATGCTAGCAGACACAAACTAACAATGTTCTCTATAACATGACCATTCAGAGAAAGTGGTGAGAAGGGGTGGGGGAAAGGAGAAAAAGAGAACCTTGAAATAATTTTGTGATTGCTAAATTTTTTTAAAAATTTGTTGTTTACTATGGTAAAATAGACACAAGATAAAACATGCCACTTTAACCATTCTTAAGTACATAGTTCTGTGGTATGAAGTACACTGTTGTGCAGCCACTACTACCACCCATCTCTAGAACTCTTCTCATCTTGCAAAACTACAACTCTGTATCCATTAAACATCAACATCCCATTCCTTCCCACCCACAGCTTGGGCAACCACCATTCCACCTTCTTTCTCTATGACCGACTATTCTAGGTACCTCATGTAAGTGAAATCATACAGTATTTGTCCTTTTGAGTCTGACTCATCTGTGTTGTAGCATATGTCAGAATTCCCTTTCTTTTTAAGGCAGCATAATTCTCTGTTGTGGTTATGAACAATAAACTTGTACTTATTTGTTTTTTAATTTAATCTTTATTATATTTTTTCCATTACCATTTAGTCTCCTTACACCCCTCTCCCTGCAGCAATCACCACACTGTTGTCCATGTCCATGAGTCCTTTTTCCTTTTTTTCAATCTTTCTATCCCCTAACCTTCCCTTCCTGACCAGTTGTCATCCTGCTCTCCATCTATGAGTCTGTCCCCAATCCCCTTGTTAGTTCAGTTAGTTCATTAGATTCCACATGTGAGTGAAATCATATTGTATTTGTCTTTCTCTGACTGGCTTATTTCACTTAGCATAATGTTCTCCAGGTCCATCCATGCTGTCACAAAGGGTAGAATTTTTTTCTTTTCTATGGCTGAGTAGTAATCCATTGTGTAAATGTCCCATAGTTGTTTTATCCACTCATCTACTGATGGACACCAGGGCTTCTTCCATATCTTAGTGATTATAAATAATGCTGCCATGAACATAGGCATGTTTATGTTTTTTTGAATTAGTGTTTTGGGTTCCTTCGGATATATTCCCAGAAATGGAATCATTTGGGTCAAAAGGCAGATCCATTTTTAATTTTTTGGAGTATCACTATATTAATTTCCACAGTGGCTATACCACTCTGCATTCCCAGCAAAGGTGCAGAGAACATTAAACTTTTAAAGTGGAATCAAAGAAGAAAAAAGTCTCCAGAGTAGCAGAAAAACACTCTGGAGAGCTGTTTCACAGGAGCCAAAAGGCACAGGGATTTCAAGAAGGTGTGACCAAAACACTAAATGCTACAGAGGCCAAGGTCAATAAGGACTGAAAACTGGTCATGGGATTTGTTGGTTAGAAAGTCATGAACAACCTTAGCAATAGTGGTTTTGGTGGATTGTGGACCAAATCTTGGTTAAGTGCTTAAGAGTAAATGGAAGATGAAGAAAAAGACCAGTGTAATGATTTATTTTAAAGGTTAGTTGTTAAGAAAAGGAGAAGTATACAGTAGTAGGTAAGAGGAGAGAATTTAGGGGGATGGATTTTTTTTTTTGTGGGAGGAATTTGATCACATTAATATCCCCCAAGGAGTGGAAAATATAGAAAAATAAACAAAGGAAAGGAGCAATATTTGATGCAGAGTGGGTTGCAAAGTGAGGTGCTAGGGAATGAATAAGAGTAGTGCTGAATGGGGATTGACGTGTTTTCCCAAATAAAATGGAAATTTTACCAAGTATTTTATGAAGAACTTTATGTTTCTGTGGTAGTTCCTAAGCGATACATTTTGTTGCAGATCCACCAGATGTCCCTGACAAGGTAACCTGTGTCATTTATGAATATTCAGGCAACATGACTTGTACCTGGAATACTGGGAAGCCCACCTACATAGACACAAATTATGTGGTGCATGTGAAGAGGTAGGTGCCTTCCTCAACACTTTAACATGAGCAACTCCACCGCAGATCAGCCAGGGCTTTACCTTAAGCTGGGATCCAAGAAATGAGCCTCAGGCATTAAAAGTACACTCTGATTATCCCCAACTCCCAAATTATGATCAGTGAAGCGACCAAAACCTTTTCCAGGCCATTAATATCTTCACTCAGGGGAGCAAGTTCTTCTACCATCTTCCTAACCTTTTCATTCACTGGTAGGAAACTAGGGGCAGGGTCCTAATGGTGACAGAGTCCGACAAGTTATAGAAGGACCTTCACTGAAAAATCCCAGAGCTAGCCTCCTTCTAAGGTTTAAGCAATTTACTCAATTTCTCCAAATTGCTTTCTCTTTATCTTTGAAATGGGCCTAAAATAAAACTTATTGCAAAGGTTTGCTCTAATTGTTTACATGGAATTTGGCTTTTAAAGTGTGTATCGCAGTGCCAGGCACTAAATTCATGAAAGCTATTTTATTAATAATGGTCCCTCTAACTTAAATTTTGTGTCTATATGGGCTAAGCAACATTTATAAGGTTTTCCTGAGTCTAAGAAGGTTCCCAGGACACAGAACTTTCAGCTTTGAAACTGAAAGTAATAATTGAATGAAAGTAATAATTTTCTAGATGGAGTTGAGGAGGGCTTTGTGGAAATGCTCTTTTGTTATGTCCTAACAACACCCAGAATGCGGGGGCCAAGATGACCATGCAGCCAAAATCTCTTAAGTTTATGCTTAAAGACAAATGGTTGATCATAAAAGTTACATTACTTCATACTAAATGAAACTGGGGAAAATATATCCTTAGTTTCTACTGTTGAGAAGCTGTAAAATAGGAAATGGTTGATATAAAAATCTCTTTCTGTTCCTCAGTGTACATAGTTCAAATATTTCTAAGTTCCATTTAAACTATACCCATGCATGTCAGTCTGTTTGGACTCCTCTGCTAGTGTTAAAAATGGAAATAAAACCATTAATTTGAAAATGTAGGCACACTAGGATAAGTTGGTCACCCCATCCATGTTTCTTGTTTTCATTTTTTCTTTTTATTGTTGTTTAATTACAGTTGTCCCCATCCCCCCCCATTACTCTCCTATGCTGTACCCACCCCCACCTCCCACATTCAATCCTCCCCCTCCCTATTGTCTTTGTCTATGGGCCCTTTATACATGTTCCTTGATGATTCCCCCCACTCTGGTTACTGTCACTTTGTTCTTTATTTCCATGTATCTGGTTCTATTTTGCTCGCTTGTTTGTTTTGTTTATTACAATCCTCTCATAAGTGAGATCATATGGTATTTGTCTTTCACCGCCTGTCTTATTTCACTTAGCATAATGTACTCTAGTTCCATCCATGCTGTTGCAACGTGTAGGAATTCCTTCTTTCTTCTGTGTAGTATTCCACTGTGTAAATGTACACAGCTTTTTGATCCACTCATCTACTGTTTCCAGCACTTGGCTACTGTTGGTTTCTTTTTTTTTTAAATATTTTATTTATTTATTTTTAGAGAGGGAAGGGAGGGAGAAAGAGAGAGAGAGAAACATCAATGTGTGGTTGCTGGGGGTCATGGCCTGCAACCCAGGCATGTACCCTGACTGGGAATCGAACCTGCAACACTTTGGTTCACAGCCCGCGCTCAATCCACTGAGTTATGCCAGCCAGGGCTCTATTGTTGGTTTCTTGTTTATTTTTTGAAAAGAATGTCTTCAGTAGTATATTTGAAATACCCTTTTTTCTCTCAAATAATTTCACAAACTATTAATTTTAAGACAATTTATTAGACCCTTACTGTTTGTCAAGCACTAAGCCAAAAGTTTTATATGTGCTGCCTCATTTGATCCCCTCTACAACCCTGTGAGGTATGTAAGATTATTTTATCCAATTTTCTTAAGGAAGGCTACTGAGGATTAGCAAGGTTAGGCAATGTGTCCAGGGCCACAGAACTACAGAGAGGGCTGGCTTGCCTGCCTTATTCCTAATCTAGTTATTTTCTGCTGAAATGGTGTAAAGGACCACATCACAGGGCTTATTTAATAGATGCTATCCAGGTCTCATCATTAGGAAAGAAAATAACCTTCTAAATTTGCTATTCTTCTCCACCTGTTAGATCTATGGAATAATTTTATGAAATGAAATCTAATAGTAACACCTTTTCATTCAATAAATTCTAGGTAAAAACTAAACATTTTTATGAATACATTACTAAGACAGGGGTTATTAGCTGCATGCCATGTGCAAGAAGCTCATACCTTTCATTCTGAGCAGGGGTTAGACAGAGGTGTGGTCAGTTCTTAAAGGGATGAGGGTAACACCGAGATCAGAAATGGGTTGCACTGGCAAATAATATACAATATGCTAAGGAATGTGCTCTGTATATACTTCACATGCATTATGTCTTCAATCCTCAACTCAGCCTTGTGAGGCAACTATTATTATTGTTCCCATTTTCTCGATGGCTTGGAGAGCTCATATTGTCTCTCCAAAGTCACTTGGCTAAGACATAAGGAGCCAGGATTCTAACAAGGGTCTGGGAGTTAACCTCTACCCCTTGCCTCTGAGGTAAAATAGTCTCCATGAGATGAAAAAAAGGCCATGAGAATAAGAAAACTAGAGTCTCATTGCTAAGTCCACTTTAGGAGTGTAAAAATGAGGGTACTGTAGGAACAAACCCCACAGTTCAAGCTCACAGAAAAACTTGGAAGTGCCAGATTGAAAGAAAGCCTAGAGTCTTGAGAATTTGTGCTATTTCCTGGGCCCTTTCACTATCTCTGGGCTGATCATGGTTTGTTGATTATTTTTTTAAATATAACAGCTTTGTTGAGTATAATTCATATACCATATACTTCACCTTATGTAAATTATATAAATCACTCAATGATTTCAGCATATTCACAGAGCTGTGCAACTATCACCACAATTTTAGAGCATTTTCATCATGCCAAAAAGAAAGCCTGTATCTACTAACCATCACTTACCTTTTCTCAACTTTCCCAGCCCTGGGCATTCTCTGTGGATTTGCCTGATCTGGAAACTTCACAGAAAAGGATCATATACTACATAGTCTTTTGTCATTGGCTTCATTCACTAGTCATGTTTTCAAGGTTCATCCATGTATCAATACTTCATTTCTTGTTACAGCTGAATAATGTTCCATTGTACAGGTATATCTTACCTTATCCACTCATTAGTTGATGGAATTTAGATTGTTTTCACTTTTTGGCTATTATGCATAAAGCATAATGCATCTGTTAACATTCATGTTTAATATTTTGTATAGATGTGTGTTTTCGTTTCTCTTGGCTATATAGTTAGAAGTAGAACTACTGTGTCATATGGTAAGTAACTATCTTTTGAGGAACTGCCACACTGTGTTCTAAAGCAGCTGTACCATCTTACATTCTCACCAGGACTGTACGAAGGTTCCAATCTCTTCACATTCTTGTTAACACTTGTTAGTACCTTGTTGGTCATTACCATCTTCATGTGTGTGGGTTAATCCTTTCAGGTCCCACTTAACCTGCCTTCCAGGTACTTGGTAATAAAATTGCATTATAAATTTGGAACAAATATAACTCAATTAGAGAAAATATATTTGTTAGTAAACATTTGCCAACCACCTCTTAATTTTTCACTTAGTGTCATAAAAATATTCTCCAAACAGTTGATAAGATTATTTATTACTGATTTCTTTTAAAATCCACTAATGCATTCAAAATCATATATATTTAAGTTATTTACAAGTGTTTTTTTCACTCTTTATAAAGTAAAGAACACCTGTAGTGAGTTATGAGTACTGAGATTGTTCCATCAGGAAGAGCAAGGGCTTTAGGGTTTTACACTTGATTTCCAGTTCTGAGACTTACCAGTCAGGTGTCTTTTATGATGCAAATATCAGAAAACCCAAATGCTGTGACTTGAACAGATGGGTTTTATTTATACCACTGAATGTATTAAGGAGCTGGCATGATAATTCAGTGACACTCCAAGGACCCAGGCTCTTCCTACCTTTCTCCTCTGCAATCTTGTGCATTGGCCTTATCCCTCAGATGCTGGGCCTCCAGGCTTCTCACCCATCTGCGCCATAGGTGGGGCTTAGTACTGTCATCTAACATCATCCACCACAGTCATTCACTGTGCGATCTTGGAAAAGTTATTTCGCTTTGTTGAGCCTCCACCTCCTGTGAAATGAGGATAAGTAATACCATACTGGGTTGTTGTAAAACTTATAAGGTAGGAAATTATACGAAATGGCTGGCAAATAAGAAATGCTGAAGACATTAACAACAAAAAGGTGATTTTAAAGTATTATGGTGACAATCAAGGCTGACCTCCATTTAATTTGGTCTTACGTCAAAACCTGATTCGGGAGAGGAGTTTAATGTAAAGCATTTAAAAAAATGATCATTTATAGGATATTATAAACAGCAGTGTTATTTACATTCTTTCCAAGTAACAGTAATTTTGGACAGATTATTAGAAAGAGATGTTAAATATGTTCTAATAGGTAAGACTACTTTTCTGGCTGCGGTACATATGTCAAAAGTAAATTTATTCATTCATTCAAACTAGAATGTAAACTCAATTTGGGTAATAACTTTTGTTTGTTTTATTCGTTTTGTTCACTGCTGTGTTACTTGAGTCTAGCACATAGTAAGTGCTCAATAAATATTTGTTGTGTGATTATTCTAACTGATAACTAGAAATAGACATTTCTTGTATTTTGCCTTCACAGTCTAGTTAAAGAATAATAATAAAGGTCATACATATTAAAATTTTTTTCATTGTCTTTTCTGAAATAAAAAGTAAATTACAGCCAAAATCAGATAAATTTAATAAAAATTCTGAATTAATGGAGTCCCAATTAATGGGATTTTATTATATTTTAAAAAGGACATGAAAGATTAGCATAAACAGGAATGTTCTCTAGCAAATCCAAAGAATGATCTCTGTAAGCAAAGCTAAACATCTCATCTTATGCTTAAAAATGCA